CGCAATGTGCCTGGTGCGATGATGATACCGCCAGGTGACACCATCACGCTAGGCACATTGGGTGGGTTGCTCTAGCATTTGGGCAAAAAACTCTATCGTCATCATAGAGTTTTTGCCCAAATGCTAGAGCGTCCCCTGCGCAATGTGCCTGGTGCGATAATTTTACCTCCAGGTGACATCATCACACCGGGCACGTTGGGTGGGACGGGGTTCTTTGGGGGGGGGCTCCCTGCCAGCCAAGTGGCCAGCAGCAGATTGGGGGGCCCACATTTGGGGAGAACCCTGCCCCCATCACGGGGATGGCAACCCTAACCTCAGCCCAGTTCCTTGGATGTGATAAGACTCTGCTGCAATGGATTAACACAGCTGCCCCCTCTGGAACTAGTGAACATTGTCAGTGATCTTTTTAATAAATGCAGTTGGGAAGTACAAGAGAGTATCCATTTATTTGCAGCTATTACATTTTATACAGCAGTATATTAAACAAAATACAAATATGTGTGTAAATCGCTACTCCAAAAAAACAGTAGTGTTTTGGGTTTGTTTTTTCTAATAATCTCCAGGCAGCAAAGCAAGAACTGGAGCGTCAGCGTCGTCTTGAGTGGGAAAGAATTCGGCGTCAGGATCTTCTTAATCAGCGTAATCGAGAACAAGAAGAAATTGTTAAGCTGACCTCTAAGAAAAAGAGCCTTAATCTTGACCTGAATGCACTGGTGAGTCTGTTGCGTTACATCTCTTAGGGTTACCAACCTCCAGCTGAGGTCTAGAGACCTCCTGGTATTACAATTACTCTCCAGACTGCAGAGATCAGGCAGGAGGTGATGGGAAAGAGCTCACTGCCTGAGATCCCGGAGAGCTGCTGCCAGTCTGAGTAGACAAGACTGACCTTGATGGATCAAAGGTCTGACTCAATATAAAGCAGCTTCATTTGGGAGGGGCTGTGGCTCAGTGGTAGGGCATCTACTTGGTAAGCCCCGGGTTCAATTCCCAGCATCTCTACTAAGGATCAGGTTGGAGGTGATGGGAAAGAGCTTTCTGCCTGAGATCCCAAAGAGCGGCTGCCAGTCTGAGTAGACAATACTGACCTTGATGGACCCAGCAGGCCTGACAAGGCAGTTTCGTGTGTTCAACCCATTTTGCATAGGTGCCTATGAATCTCTTTGCCTAATTATAAAGATGGAAGCATGACCTTACAAAGTCCGTGTCCACAGTACGCTGCCTTGTCATGCTTTAAAATGCAGAGAACGATTTCTTTGTCTTTCTTCTGGTGCACACATGGACGGCCTTAAATGGCCATGCCATATTTTTTCACCGATTCTGCATGATGAAAAGGGGAATAATTTTTTTCTAAAGACAAAATATCTTCACTGCTTCCTTAGGAAAGTACTTGCCCAAACCCCGACATTTTTGGAAGAGTGTTACGGACTGGCTGTTGCTTGTTGGAGAGTCCTTGATTTTCAGCACATCATGAGCAGTGTTCCCTCTAAGCTGAGTTAGTGTGAGCTAGCTCACAGTTTTTTAGCCTCCAGCTCACACATTTTTGTCTTAGCTCAGGAAGGAGGGCTCCAGAGCCAACTAATTTATCCAGTAGCCAAATTGCTCGCTCACAATTTTAATGGCAGTAGCTCACAAAGTAGAATTTTTGGGCGTGGCCTATTATGCTAATGAGTTCCTGCTGGGCGTGGCCAGCTCAGGAGCCAGCCAGAACTCCGTTCCTGTGCGTTCCTGCCCCAAAATAGCCCTGGTTCAACCCATTTTGCATAGGTGCCTATGAATCTCTTTGCCTAATTATAAAGATGGAAACATGACCTTACAAAGTCTGTGTCCACAGTACACTGCCTTGTCAAGCTTTAAAATGCAGAGAACAATTTCTTTGTCTTTCCTCTGGTGTACACATGGACTGTCTTAAATGGCCATGCCATATTCTTTCACCAATTCTGCATGATGAAAAGGGGAATAATTTTTTCCTAAAGACAAAATATCTTCACTGCTTCCTTAGAAAGTACTTTGCCCAAACCCCGACATTTTTGGAAGAGTGTTACAGACTGGCTGTTGCTTGTTGGAGAGTCCTTGATTTTCAGCACATCATGAGCAATGCTCCCTCTAAGCTGTGGAGTCTTGTGAGCAAAAATTCTACTTTGTGAGCTCCTGGCATTAAAGTTGTGAGCAAGCAGTTTGGCTGTTGAATAAATCAGTTTGCTCTGGAGCCATCCTTCCTGAGCGAAGACAAAAGTGTGCGAGCCGAAAGCTAAAAAACTGTGAGCTAGCTCACACTGACTCCGCTTAGAGGGAACAGTGATCATGAGTTTTTTAATGGTTTGATCCTTTTAATCATTGTTTCCTTTGAACTTACTCGAAGGTGGGAGGGTGCCAGGAGACCATATGTGGCATTAAGGAATATAGTGGAGACAGAGGCAGTGATTGTCTAATATGTACTGGTGAAGTGCCTTAATATGATCAGAAGTGAAATCTCTCCCCCCCAGCCCCCCCCCACACACACACACTACAGAATGAGAAACACCAGCAGATCTCTGGGAGGTTGCAAGATGTTCGAAGCAGAAAACAAATTCAGAAGAGTGAGCTGGATGTTCTGGACAAGAAATGTGACTTGGGAATTATGGAGATCAAACAGCTGCAGCAACAGCTTCAGGTATGTAAGAAGAAGCAGGTGGTTTTGTCAGCTCCGACGAATGAGGCACACAGTGGAAAAATGCCCTGACCTGGATAGCCCGGGATAGCCCGATGCTGTGTGATCGCGGAAGCTAAGCAGGGTCGGCCCTGGCTAGTATTGGGAAGGGTGGCCTCTAAAGAATAGCAGGGGTGTGATGTAGAGGCAGGCAATGGCAAACCCGCCTCTAGGCTTGCCAAG